AAAAAAAAAGCATCCAAGAGATCCAATATATACTGCTGTAAGATCTTTATACTACACATAAAGCAGTATAATATTATTTGAAGGTAGACTTTGATCAAGTAAAGATGTATATTATAAACACTAGGGCAACCATAACCGATTTTTTCAAAAAGGGATAAATACATCGATAATGGAGATAAAACGGTATAAAAAAAGATACAACAGAAAACCACAGCCTTAGTGACTTTCATGATACATGAAGCAAAACAAATAGAACAGAAGGAGAAATAGATAAATGACAACTATAGTTGGAGACTTTAATACTCCTCAGTCGGTGATCACAGAAGTATACAGATAATCAGTAAGGTTAGAAAAGAGCTGAATACTATCAACTAACTTGACCGAATGGAATTTATAGAAACCTTCACCCACCAGAGCAGAATACATGCTCTGTTCAAGTGTACATAAAACACTCACCAACATAAACCATATTCTTGGCCACAAAACAAACTTTTAACAAATTTAAAGGAATAGAAATCATATAAATTATGTTCTCAAGACATAACAGAATTAAACTACAATTCAACAACAAAAATAGTCTTATAGTAGAAAAGGGAAAAAATAACATGGTTTGACATAAGATAATGTCAGGGAGGAAAAAGAAACGACCCCAAAGGACTGATTAATTGACTGGATATAGAGTATGAGGGAAACGACCCCAAAGGACTGATTAATTGACTGGATATAGAGTATGAGGGAAAAGCAGGTATAAAAAAAGACTCCCAGGTTTCTGGCTTTAGCAAATGGGTGGGGAGTGGCAATTTTTTTAGTCAGATAGAGAACAGTTTAGAAGGAAAGATCAAGAGTTCAGTTTTGGAGATAATAGGTTTCAGAAGTCTATGACACACCCAAGTAGAGCTATCAAATAAGTAGCTGAATAAATTAGTCTGGAGTTTAGAAGAGCAATACGAACTGGAAATATTAACTGGGGATTGCAGGCCCAGACTTAGGATTGTAAATGTAAGTAAAGAACTTAGAATGATAAACAGTATATAGTGTTATACCAGTTTTTCCTATTACTATCATTATCAATTGATATTAATCATTATCATCACCCAAGTAGTATAAATGTATCCTCACAATAGTAGGTATGACTTACACAGTACACAGGATTATCACCATTTAGAGATAAACCAGACACACCAGAAAAACAAACAAACAGGCTCACCACCTGGAAAATTACAGTGCCAGAAAATGCCAGAATTAAAAGTAAGATTTGGCTATAAATATTTTTTTCACTAAAAAATTTCACATCTGTTACTCCCAAAACAGTAACTGCGTAAATAATGGGAACTGGTAAAGTCTCGCCGATTTAATTCTCATCCTAGACTGAACTAAAAAAATAACAATGACATAACAAAGAATCACTTCTCAAATTTAGTTTTCTCAAATTCAGAATGGTTTACATATTACTAATTCTATTTCAGCCTTCAAAAAACTCCAAGGTAGGCCGGCCCGTGGCTCACTTGGTAGAGTGCGGTGCTGATAACACCAAGGCCACGGGTTCAGATCCCCTATAGGAATGGCTGGTTTGCTCACTGGCTGAGCGTGGTGCTGACAACACCAAGCCAAGGGTTGAGATCCCCTTACCGGTCATCTTTTAAAAAAAAAAAAAAACTCCAAGGTAGGCCGGCCTGTGGCTCACTTGGTAGAGCGCAGTGCTGATAACACCAAGGCCACGGGTTCAGATCCCCTATAGGAATGGCTGGTTTGCTCACTGGCTGAGCGTGGTGCTGACAACACCAAGCCAAGGGTTGAGATCCCCTTACCGGTCATCTTTTAAAAAAAAAAAAAAACTCCAAGGTAGGCCGGCCTGTGGCTCACTTGGTAGAGCGCAGTGCTGATAACACCAAGGCCACGGGTTCAGATCCCCTATAGGAATGGCTGGTTTGCTCACTGGCTGAGCGTGGTGCTGACAACACCAAGCCAAGGGTTGAGATCCCCTTACCGGTCATCTTTTAAAAAAAAAAAAAAAAAAAAACTCCAAGGTAATGTGTCCTGGATCAAAATATAATTTAAAACACAGAGATAGAAATTTCCAATATTTCCTTTAATAACAAAAAGAATAACAACATTATCTTTGAAGATAGCTAAAATGATAATATTGACCAAGCCCCTTCACACAAAAAATCTTAGGGGCCATTCATTTTTATAATGACTCCATTTTACATCGAGAAGTTGAGCATGATCGTGAAACTGTAAAAACTCTATTTTGCAGTGAATAAAATTCAGACTAAAACTGTAAATTAAAATTGTTCCTCTGTCCATTCAGAACCTTTTCTCATACTTGATAAATACAATTTTGCTTAGCATTATGTTAGTTTTATTTTAGAACTAAGTTTTGAAAATATTAGTGGGGAGGGAAGAAGGAGAAGGAAGGGAGGAGGAGGAAAACACTCTAGGCACTATTCTAAGTCCTTTATATATTATCTGATTAAATATTTACAATAACTTCATGAGGCAGGTATTATTCTCCTCCCTATTTACTATACACGAGGAAACTAAGTTAAGCAACTTGTCCAAGGTCACAAAGCTGATATGTGGTACATTCATGACTCCAAGACAGGCAGTCTAACTCTGTAACAGGCAACCAGACCATAACTGCAACATAAACTACCTCCTCCCCACAAATAAATAAATGGATGAATAAAAGCCTTCTTGCTTCATGATTAAAAAATTCTGTCAAATGTTGATTTCTAAACTATTTTGGGGAGATAGCAAATTGAATTTCTCCCAGCTCTTTCAGAAGTTTTCTGAATAGTATGCAAATTAAATTGAAATAAAACTTCATCTATTTGAGATCTCATTCCTCTGGAGCTCACACATTATAAGAATATCAGATATAATTGAGTATACTTACTGGCAGATTTAGAAAATTATGTATGTTTTTGATCCTTAGTATGATAGATACAGTATGATTTTGAAAAATCCTTTGGTATAAGTTATTATTAAAAAAAAAAAAAAGTAAAATGATTATGAAACTCACGTGCACAGAATAACAAGAGAACAAGGGAATAATTCCTGGTACTGAAGACAGCATTTTAATACTCGATCATCATTGTTCTCATCACTCAATCCATCTGCAAATTTAGCAAAAGCAACTGTAAATAAATACACTAGAAATCTGAGTACCACATGAATAATCTAGGCTATATTTACAAATAAAAAACATCTAAAAATTTTAGGGCAGTGAAACTACTCTGTATGATACTATGATGGTGGATACATGTCATACATTTGTCCAAACCCAAACAATGCACAACACCAAGAGTGAACCCTAAAGTAAACTATAAACTCTGGGTGATAATGATGTGTCAATGTAGGTTCATCAATTGTACAAATGTACCACTCTAGTGGGGGATGTTGGAAATGGGATAGAATATGCATGTGTCAGGGTGGGAGCATATGGGAATCTGTACTTTCTGCTCAATTTTGCTATGAACCTAAATCGCTCTAAAAAATAGTCTATTAAAAATTAAATATATCTAAAAGAAAAAAATATTAAATAAAAAGAGGAAGATAAGACAGCAAAACAATGTCTTGAAAACTCTGGATCTAAAATTCACACAGCATATAGTTGTGGATTTAATAAAGCGGTTAGTTCACTACTAAAATGGAGTAGGATATGCAGAAATGTCATCAATAGGTTAAATGTCAGACTAGAAACCAAACGCTAAGAATTCTCATCTCAACTTGGTCACTGACAGATTACAAATACATTAAATAATTACATCATGCTTAAAATTATCTCAATTTAAGAGGTAAACTAATGGGCAACTGTTCTACCAGCAACTAAACCAGTTTCCTGTGTCTGATTTTTCTTAATCTCTAAAGCAATACATTTAGAGATGTACAAGAGAAGGAAATAGGAGCCCTAGGGAGAGAACATTTCTAACAAATGTTAATCACTTGCTGACAAGGGGCCCTCTGGCATTCACCAAGCCTTAACATCTGTAGTAAAAATTTAGTTTATGTGAAAATAATGCAATGTGGGTTGAATGTCCCCCCAAAATTCACTGAAGCTTCACCCCCACTGTAACAGTACTAAGAGGACGGGAAATCTGTTTATGATATTTGAAAGGGCTGATTAGATTATAAGGACTGAGCCCCTGTGAATGGATCGATCCATTCATGGAATAATGGGCATGGTTCTGATGGCTTTCTAAGGAGGGCAAGTGAGAAAGTCACTCAAATTCAGAATGGTTTAC